AAAAACGATAAACGTTGAGAATCTGAAACCAAATGTAAAAGATCAATATCGTCGTAGACGTTTAGGGAAAAATAATTAAAAGTTGTGCAGATGAAAAATTTTTTATCCTTGATGTGATCTCAAGCTAACCCTAACCCTAACCCTAAGCTTAACCCTAGGGTTAGGGTTGGGGTTAACTCCTGGAAAAACGATAAGCGTTGAGAATCTCAAACCAAATGCAAAACGTCAATATCGTCGTAAACGTCCAGGAAAAAATCTTTAAAAGTTGTGTAGATGAAAATTTTTTTATCTTCTAAGTGACCTTCAGCTAACCCTAACCCTAAGCTTAACCCTAGAGTTAGGATTAGGGTTAACTCCTTGGAATACGAAAAGCGTTGAGAATCTGAAACCAAATGCAAAACATCAATATCGTCGTAAACGTCCAGGGAAAAATCTTTAAAAGTTGTGTAGATAAAAGAATTTTTATCTTTGACGTGATCTCAAGCTATCCCTAACCTTAAGCTTAACCCTACGGCTAGGGTTGGGGCTAACTCCTGGGAAAACGATAAGCGTTGAAAATCTCAAACCAAATGCAAAACATTAATAGCGTCGTAAACGTCCAGGGAAAAATCTTTAAAAGTTGTGTAGATGAAAAAATTTTTTATCTTCGAAGTGACTTCGAGGTAACCCTAACCCTAAGCTTAACCCTAGGGTTAGCGTTAAGGTTAACTCCTGGGAAAACTATAAGCGTTGAAAATCTCAAGGCAAATGCAAAACATCAATATCGTCGTAAACGTCCAGGGAAAAATCTTTAAAAGTTGTGTAGATGAAAATTTTTTTATCTTCGAAGTGACCTGAAGCTAACCCTAACCCTAAGCTTAACCCTAGGGTGAGGGTTAGGGTTAACTCCTGGGAAAACGAAAAGCGTTGACAATCTGAAACCAAATGCAAAACATCAATATCGTCGTAAAAGCGCAGGGAAAAATCTTTAAAAGTTGTGTAGATGAAAATTTTTTATCTGGGAAGTGACCTCAAGCTAACCCTAACCCTAACGCTAAGGTTAACATTAGGGTTAGGGTTGGGGTTACCTCCTGGGAAAACTATACGCGTTCAAAATCTGAAACCAAATGCAAAACATGAATATCGTGGTAGACGTGCATGGAAAAATGGTTAAAAGTTTTGTAAATGAAAATTTTTTTTATCTTTGATGTGACCTCAAGCTAATCCGAACCCTAACCCTAAGCTTAACCCTGGGATTATTGTTGGGGTTAACTCCTGGGAAAAATAAAAGTGTTGACAATCTGAAACCAAGTACAAAACATAAATATCTTCGTAGACGTCCGGGGAAAAATCTTTAAAAGTTGTGTTAATGAAAAATTTTTTATCTTCGAAGTGACCTCAAGCTAACCCTAACCCTAAGCTTAACCCTAGGATTAAATTTGAGGTGAACTCCTGTGAAAACGATAAGCGTTAGGAAATTAAAACAAAATGCAAAACATGAATATCGTGCTAGAAGTCCGAGAAAAAATGTTTAAAAGTTGTCTAGATGAACAATTTTTTATGGTCAAAGTAACCTCAAGCTGACCCTAACCCTAACGGTAAGCTTAACCCTAGGTTTAGGATTGGGGTTAACTCCTGGGAAAACAATAAGCGTTGAGAATCTGAAACCAAATGCAAAACACGAATATTGTGGTAGACGTCCAAAGAAAAATGATTAAAAGTTGTGTAGATGAAACATTCTTTATCTTTGATGTGAGCTTAAGCTAACCGTAACCCTAACCCTAAGCATAACCCCAGGGTTAGGGTTGGGGTTAACTCCCGGGAAAACAATAAGCGTTGAGAATATGAAACCAAATGCAAAACATGAATATCGTCGTAGACGTCGATAAAAAAATCTTTAAAAGTTGTTTAGATGAAAAACATTTTAATCTTCGAAGTGACCTCAAGCTAACCCTAGCCCTAAGCTTAACCCTAGGGTTAGGGTTGGGGTTAACTACTGGAAAAACGATAAGCGTTGACACTCTAAAACGAAATGGAAAACATGAATATCGTGGTAGACATCCAAGAAAAAATGTTTAAAAGTTGTGTAGATCAACAATTTTTTATGTTCCAAGTCACCTCAAGCTGACCCTAACCCTAACGGTAAGCTTAACCCTAGGGTTAGGGTTGGGGTTAACTCCTAGGAAAACGAAAGGCGTTGAGAATCTAAAACGAAATACAAAACATGAATATGGTCGTAGACGTCAAGGGAAAAATCTTTAAAAGTTGTGTGGATAAAAAATTTTATGTCTTCGAAGGGACCCCAAGCTAACCCTAACCCTAGGCTTAACCCTAAGGTTAGGGTTGGGATTAACTCCCGGGTAAACGATAAGCGTTGAGAATTTGAAACCAAACGCAAAATATAAATATCGTCGTAGAAGTCCAGGGAAAAATGTTTAAAAGTTGTGTAGATGAAAACATTTTTATCTTTGAAGTGACCTAAACGTAACCCTAACCCTAACACTAAGCTTAACCCTAGGATTAAAGTTGGAGTTAACTTCTGGGAAAAGGATAAGCGTTAAGAACCTAAAACCAAATGCAAAATCTTGAATTCAGGATTTTGAAAAGCTAAAATCTTAAAATCGGCCAAAATCTTGAATTCACGATTTTGGGAAGCTAAAATCTTGAAATCCGCCAAAATCTAGAAATCTGCCAAAATCTTGAATTCAGGGTTTTGGAAACCTAAAATCTTGAAATCTGCCAAAATCTTGAATTCAGGATTTGGGAAAGCTAAAATCTTGAAATCGGCCAAACTCTTGAATTCAGGGTTTTGGAAACTTAAAATCTTGAAATCGGCCAAAATATAGATTTGAGGATATTGGAAAGCTAAAATCTTGAAATCGGCAATAATCTTGAGTTCAGGATTTTGCTAAGGTAAAATCTTGATATCGGCCAAAATCTGGAATTGAAGGTCCTGGAAAGCCAAAATCTTGAATTCAGGGTCCTGGAAAGCTAAAATCATGAAATCGGCCAAAATATTGAATTCAGGATTTTTCAGAGCTAAAATCTTGAAATCGACCAAAATCTGCAACTCAAGATTTTGGAAAGGTAAAATCTAAAAATCGGCCAAAATCTTAAATTCAGGGTCCTCGAAAGCAAAAATCTAGAAATCGGCACACATTTGAGTTCAGGATTTTCGAAAGCTACAATCTTCAAATCTGCAATAATCTTGATTTCAGGATTTTGGAAGGCTAAAATCTTGAAATCGGCCAAAATCTTCAATTCACGATTTTTAAAAGCTAAAATCTTGAAATCGGCCAAAACCTTGATTTCAGGCTTTTAGAAAGCTGAAATCTTGAAATCGCTCAAATTCTTGAATTCAGGATTTTGGAAAACTAAAACCTTGTAATCGACCAAAATCTTGAAATGGGCCAACATCTTGACTTCAGGATTTTGAAATGCTAAAATCTTGAAATCGCTCAAAATCTTGAATTCAGGATTTTGGAAAGCTAAGATCTTGAAATTGGCCCAAATCTCTAATTTAGGATTTTGGAAAGCTAAAATCTTGAAATCGGCCAAGATTTTGAATTGAGCATTTTGGAAACCTAAGATCTTGAGATCGGCCAAAATCTTCAATTCAGGATTTGTGAAAGCTAAAAGGTTGAAATCTGCCAAAATATTAATTTCCGCCAAAATCTTGAATTCAGGATTTTAGAAAGCGAAAACCTCGCAATCGGCCAAAATCTTGAATTCAGGATTTTGGAAAGCTAAAATCTTAAAATCCGCCAAAATCTTGAATTCAGGATTTTGAAATCTAAGATCTTCAAATCGCCCAAAATCTTCAAATCGGTCAAAATCTCGAAGTGAGGATTTTGGAAAGCTAAAATCTGGAAATCGGCCAAAATCTTGAATTCAGGATTTTGGAACCCTAAAATTTTGAAATCAGCCAAAATCTTGTATTCAGGATTTTGAAATCTAAGAACTTGAAAGCGCCCAAAATCTTTAAATCGGTCAAAATCTCAAATTGAGGATTTTGGAAAGCTAAAATCTTGAAATCGGCCAAAATCTTGAATTGAGCATTTTGGAAAGCTAAGATCTTGAGATCGGCCAAAATCTTCAATTCAGGATTTGTGAAAGCTAAAACGTTGAAATCTGCCAAAATATTAAATTCCGTCAAAATCATGAATTTAGGATTTTAGAAAGCTAAACCCTTGAAATCGGCCAAAATCTTGAATTCAGGATTTTGGAAAGCTAAAATCTTTAAATCCGCCAAAATCTTGTATTCAGGATTTTGAAATCTAAGATCTTGAAATCGCCCAAAATCTTGAATTCAGGATTTTGGAACCCAAAAATCTTGAAATCGGCCAAAATCTTGAATTCAGGATTTTGGAAAGCTAAGATCTTGAAATCGGTCAAAATCTTGAATTCAGGATTTTGGAAAGCTAAAATCTTAAAATCGAGAAAAACCTTGAGTTCATCCTTTTGAAAAGCTGAAATCTTGAAATCGCCGAGATCCTTGAATTCAGGATTTTGGAAGGCTAAAACCGTGAAATCGGCCCAAATCTTAAATTCGGGATTTTGGAAAGCTAAAATCTAGAAATCGGCCAAAATCTTAAATTCAGGATTTTGGAAATCTAAAATCTTGAAATCGGAAAAATCTAGATTTCACGATATTGGAAAGCTAAAATCTTGAAATCGGGCAAAATCTTGAATCCAGGATTTTGGAAGGCTAAAATCTTATAATGGGTCAAAATCTTGAATTCAGGATTTTAAAAAGCTAAAATATTGAAATCCGCCAGAATCTTGAATTCAGGATTCTGCAAGGCTAAAATCTTGAAATCGGCAAAATTCTTCTATTGCGGATTTTGGAAAGCTAAAGTCTTGAAATCCGCCAAAATCTTGAATTCAGGATTTTGGAAAGCTAAAATCTTGAAATCGGCTCAAATTCTTGAATTCAGGATTTTGGAAAGCTAAGATCTTGAAATCGGCCGAAATCTAGAATTTAGGATTTTGGAAAGCTAAAATCTTAAAATCGGCCAAAATGTTAAGTTCAGGCTTTTGAAAAGCCGAAATCTTGAAATCGCCCAAATTCTTGAATTCAGGATTATGGAAAGCCAAAACCTTAAAATCGGCGAAAATCTTGAATTTGGGATTTAGGAAACCTAAAATCTTGAAATCGGCAAAAATCTTGAATTCAGGATTTTGGAAGGCTAAAACCTTGAAATCGGCGAAAATCTTAAATTCGGGATTTTGAAAAGTTAAAATCTAGAAATCGGCCAAAATCTTAAATTTAGGATTTTGGAAAGCTAAAATCTTGAAATCGGGCAAAATATTGAATTCAGGATTTTGGAAGGCTAAAATCTTATAATCGGCCAAAATCTTGAATTCAGGAGTTTGGAAAGCTAAAATCTTGAAATCCGCCAGAATCTTGAATTCAGGATTTTGCAACGCTAAAATCTTGAAATCCGCCATATTCTTGCATTCCGGATTTTGGAAAACTAAAATCTTGAAATCGGGCAAAATCTTGAATTGAGGATTTTGGAAAGCTAAAATCTTGAAATCGGCTCCAATTCTTGAATTTAGGATTTTCAAAAGCTAAAATCTTGAAATCGGCCAACATCTTGAATTCATTATTTTGGAAAGCTAAAATCTTGAAATCGCTGAAAACTTTGAATTCAGGATTTTGGAAAGGTAAGAACTTGAAATCGGCCAAAATCTTGACATTAGGATTTTAAAAAGCTAAAATCTTAAAGTCCGCCAAAACCTTGAATTGAGGATTTTGGAAAGCTAAAATTTTGAAATGAACCAAAATCTTAAATTCAGGATTTTGGAAAGCTACAATCTTAAAAAAAGCACAAAATCTTGAAGTCAGGATTTTGAAAGCTAAGATCTTGAAACCGGCCAAAATCTTGAATTCAGGATTTTGGAAAGCTAAAATCTTGAAATCGGCCAAAATCTTGAATCCAGGATTTTGCAGAGCTAACATCTTGAATTCGGCAAAAGTCATAAATTGACGATTTTGGAAAGCTAAAATCTTGAAATCGACCAAAATATTGAATTCTGGATTATGGAAGGCCACAATCTTGAAATCGGCTAAGATCTTGAATTCAGGATTTTGCAAACCTAATATCTTGAAATCGGCCAAAATCTTGCATTTAGGATTTTGGAAAGCTAAAGTCTTGAAATCGCCTAAATTCATGAATTCAGGATTTTGAAAAGCCAAAATCTTGAAATCCGCAAAAATCTTGAATTGAGCATTTTCGAAAGCTAAGATCTTGAAATCGGCTAAAATCTTGAATTCATGATTCTGGAAAGCTAAAATCTTTAAAGACACCAAAATATTGAATTGAGGATTTTGGAAAGCTAAGATCTTGAAATCGGTTAAAATCTTGAATCCATAATTATGGAATACTAAAATCTGGAAACCGGCCAAAATTTGGAATTCAGGGTTTTGGAAAGCTAAGATCTTGAAAGCGGCCAAAATCTTGAATTCAGGATTTTCGATAGCTGCAATCTTCAAATCGGCCATAATCTTGAATTCAGGATTTTGGAAGGCTACAATCTTGAAATCGGCCAAAATCTTGAATTGAGGATTTTGGAAAGCTAAGGTCTTGAAACGGGCCAAAATCTTGAAATCGGCCAAAATCTTGAGTTCAGGATTTTGGAAAGCTAAAATCTTGAAATCGCTCAAAATCTTGATTTCAGGATTTTGGAAAGGTAAGATCTTGAAATCGGCCAAAATCTTGAGTTTAGGATTTGGGAAAGCTAAAATCTTGGAATCGGCCAAAATCTTGAATTTTGGATTTTAGAAGGCTAAAGTCTTGAAATCGGCCAAAATCTTGAATTCAAGATTTTGGAAAGCTAAAATCTTGAAATCCGCCAAAATATTGAATTCAGGATTTTGGAAAGCTAAATTCTTAAAATCGGACAAAATCTTGAATTCAGCATTTTGGAAAGCTAAAATCTTGAATTCAGGATTTTGGAAAGTTAAAATCTTAAAATTGGCCAAAATCTTAAAATCAGGATGTTGGAAGGTTTAAATCTTAAAATCCGCCAAAATCTTGAATTGAGAATTTTAGAAAGCTAAGATATTAAAATCGGCCAAAATCTTGAATTTAGGATTTTGGAAAGCTAAAATCTCGAAATCGGCCAAAATCTTGAATTGAGGATTTTGGAAAGCTAAAATCTTGAATTCTCCAAAAATCTTGAGTTCAGGCTTTTGGAAAGCGAAAATCTTGAAATCGCCCAAAATCTTGAATTCAGGAGTTTGGAATGCTAAGATCTTGAAGTCGACCAAAATCCAGAATTCCGGATTTTGGAAACCTAAAGTCTAAAAATTGTCCAAAATCTTAAATTTAGGATTTTAGCGAGCTAAAAACTTGAAATCTGCCAAAATCTTGAGTTCACGTTTTTAGAAAGCTAGGATCTTGAAATCGGCCAAAATCTAGAATTCAGGATTTTGGGAAGCGAAAATCTTAAAATAGGCCAAAATTTTCAGTTCAGGCTTTTGGAGAGCTAAAATCTTGAAATCGGCCAAATTATTAAATTCAGGATTTTAAAAAGCTAAAATCTTCAAATCGGCCAAAATCTTGAATTCAGGATTTTGGAAAGCTACGATCTTGAAATCGGCCAAAATCTTGAATTCATGATTTTGGAAAGCTACAATCTTCAAATCGGCCATAATCTTGAATTCAGGATTTGGGAAGTCTAAAATCTTGAAATCGGCCAACATCTTGAAAAGAGGATTTTAGAAAGCTACAATCTTCAAATCGGCCAAAATCTTGAATTAAGGATTTTGCAAAATTAAAATCTTAAAATCGGCCAAAATCTACAAATTGAGGATTTTGGATAGCTAAAATCTTGAATTCTCCCAAAATCTTAAATTCAGGCTTTTGGAAAGCTAAAATATTGAAATCGGCCAAAATCTTAATTTCATGATTTTGGAAAGCTAAGATCTTGAAATCGGCCAAAATCTCTAATTTTGGATTTTGGAAAGCTAAAGTCTTGAAATCGCCCAAAATCTTGAATTGAGCATGTTGAAAATCGACCAAAATCTTTAATTCAAAATTTTTGAAAGCTAAAATCTTAAAATCTGCCAAAATATTATATTCCGCCAAATTCATGAATTCAGTATATTAGAAAGCTAAAATCTTGAAATCGGCCATAAAATCTTGAATTCAGGATTTGGGAAAGCTAAAATCTTAAAATAAACCAAAATCTTGAATTTAGGACTTTGAAATCTAAGATCTTTAAATCGCCCAAAATGTTTAAATCGGTCAAAATCTCAAATTGAGGATTTTGGAAAGCTAAAATCTTGAAATCGGCCAAAATCTTGGATTTAGGATTTTGCAAAGGTAAACTCTTAAAAACGGCCAGGATGTTTAAGTTAAGATTTTGTAATGCGAAAATCTTGATATCGGTCCAAAATCTTGAATTCAGGAATTGGGAAAGCTAAAATCTTGAAATCGGCCAAAATCTTGAATTCAGGATTTTGGAAGGCTAAGATCTTCAAAGCGGAAAAAATCTTGAATTCAGGATTTTGGAAGGCTATAATCTTGAAATCGGCCAAAATCTTGAATTCAGGATTTTGGAAAGCTACAATCTTTAAATCGGCCAAAATATTGAATTCAGGATTTTGGAAGGCTAAGATCTTCAAATCGGCAAAAATCTTGAATTCAGGATTTTGGAAAGGTAAAATCTTGAAATCGGCCAAAATCTTGAGTTCAGGCTTTAGAAAAGCTGAAATATTGAAATCACCCAAATTCTTGAATTCAGGATTTTTGAAAGCTAAAACCGTGAAATCGGCCAAAATCTTGAATTGAGGATTTTGGAAAGCTAAAATCTTGAAATCGGCCAAAATGTTGAATTCAGGATTTTGCAAGGCTAAAATCTTGAAATCGGCCAAATTCTTGAGTTCGGGATTTTGGAAAGCTAAAATCTTGAAATCGGCCAAAATCTTGAATTTAGGATTTTGGAAAGCTAAAATCTTGACATCGGCCAACATCTTCAATTCAGGATATTGGAAAGCTAAAATCATGAAATAGGCCAAAATCTTGAATTTACAATTTTGGAAAGCTAGAATCAAGAAATCCGCCAAAATCTGAAATTCAGGATTTTGGAAACCTTAGATCTTGAAAATCGGCCAAAATCTTGAATTCAGGATTTTGGAAAGCTACTATCTTCAAATCGGCCAAAATCTTGAATTCAGGATTTTGGAAGGCTAAAATCTTGAAAGCCGCCAAAATCTTTCAATTCAGGATTTTCAAATCTAAGATCTTGAAATGGGCGAAAATCTTTAAATAGGTCAAAATCTCGAATTGAGAATTTTGGAAAGCTAAAATCTTGAAATCGGCCAAAACCTTGGATTCAGGGTTTTGCAAAGGTAAAATCTTGAAATCGTCCCAAATCTTTAAGTTAGGATTTTGGAAAAAGAAAAACTTGAAATCGGTCCAAAATCTTGAATTCAGGATTTTGGAACCCTAAAATCTTGAAATCGGCCAAAATCTTTAATTTAGGATTTTGGAGAGCTAAAATCTTGCAATCGGCCATAATCTTGAGTTCAGGCTTTTGAAAAGCTGAAATCTTGAAATTGCCCAAATTGTTGAATTCAGGATTTTGGAAAGCTAAAACCTTGAAGTCGGCGAAAATCATGAATTTAGTATTTTGCAAGGCTAAAGTGTTGAAATCGTCCAAAATCTTGAATTAAGGATTTTGGAAAGCTAAAATCTTCAAATGGGCCAAAATCATGAATTTAGTATTTTGCAAGGCTAAAGTCTTGAAATCGTCCAAAATCTTGAATTCAGGATTTTGGAAAGCTAAAATCTTGAAATCTGCCAAAATCTTGAATTTTGGATTTTGGATAGCTAAGATCTTAAAATCGGCCAAAATCTTGAATTCAGGATTTTGGAAACGTAAAATCTCGAAATCGGCCAAAATCTTGAATTAACGATTATGAAAGCTAAAATCTTGAAATCGGCCAAAATCTACAAATTGAGGATTTTGGATAGCTAAAATCTTGAATTCTCCCAAAATCTTGAGTTCAGGCTTTTGGAAAGCTAAAATCTTAAAATTGCCCAAAATCTTGAATTCATTATTTTGGAAAGGTAAGATCTTGAAGGCGACCAAAATCTACAATTCAGGATTTTGGAAAGCTAAAATCTCAAAATCGGCCAAAATCTTAAATTCAGGATTTTGGAGAGCTAAAATCTTGAAATTTGCCAAAATCTTGAATTCAGGATTTTCGAAAGCTAAGATCTTGAAATCGGCCAAAATCTTGAATTCAGGATTTTGAAATATAAGATCTTGAAATCGCCCAAAATCTTTAAATCGGTCAAAATGTTTAATGCAGAATTTTGGAAAGGTAAAATCTTGAAATAGGCCAACATCTAGAGATAGGAATTTTGCAAAGCTATAATCTTGAAATCGGTCAAAATCTTGAATTCAATATTTTTGGAAAGCTAAGCTCTTGAAATCCGCCAAAATGTTGAATTCAGGATATTGGAAAGCTAACATCTTAAATTCGGCGAAAATCTTAAATTGACGATTTTGGAAAGCTAAAATCTTGAAATCGACGAAAATTTTGAATACTGGATTATGGAAAGCCACAATCTTGAAATCGGCTAACATCTTGAATTCAGGATTATTGAAACCCTAATATCTTGAAATCGGCCAAAATCTTGCTTTTAGGATTTTGGAAAGCTAAAATCTTGAAATCGGCTAAAATCTTCAATTCATGATTCTGGAAAGCTGAAATCTTAAAAGGCACCAAAATATTGAATTGAGGATTTTGGAAATCTAAGATTTTGAAATCGGCTAAAATCTTGAATCCTTAATTCTGGAAAACTAAAATCTTGAAAACGGCCAAAATTTCGAATTCAGGATTTTGCGAAGCTAAAATCTTGAAATCAGCCAGTATCTTGAATTCAGGATTTTGGAAAGCTAATATCTCGAATTCAGGCTCCTCGAAAGCAAAAATCTCGAAATCGGCCAAAATCTTAACTTCAGGATTTTGGAAAGCTAAAATTTTTAAATGGGCCAACATTTTCAGTTCAGGATTATCAAAAGGTAAAATCTTAAAATCGGCCAAAGTCTTGAATTTAGCATTTTTGGAAAGCTAAAATGTTGAAATCCGCCAAAATCTTGAATTCAGGACTTTGGAAAGCTAAAATCTTGAAATGGACGAAAATCTTGAATTAACGATTTTGGAAAGCTAAAATCTTGAAATGGGTCAAAACCTTGAATTCAGGATTTTGGAAAGCTAAGATCTTGAAATCGGCCGGAATCTTGAATGTAGGATTTTGGAAAGCTAAAATCTTGAAATCCGCAAAAATCTTGAATTTAGGATTTTGGAAAGCTAATATCTAAAATTCAGGGTTCTGGAAAGCAAAAATCTCGAAATCGGCCAACATCTTGAATTTAGGATTTTGGTAAGCTAAAATCTTGAAATCGGCCAAAATCTTAAATTTAGGACTTTGGAAAGATAAAACCTTGAAATCGGCCAAAATCTTGATTTCAGGATTTTGGAAAGCTAAAATCTCGAAAACCGCTAAAATCTTGAATTCAGTATTTTGAAAAGCTGAAATCTTGAAATCGCCCGAATTTTTGAATTCAGGATTTTAAAATCTAAGATCTTGAAATCGCCAAAATCTTTAAATCGGCAAATATCTTGAAATCGGGATTTTGGAAAGCTAAAATCTTGAAATCGGCCAAAATCTTAAGTTCAGGAATTTGGAAAGCTAAAATCTTGGAATCGGCAAAATCTTGAATTCAGGATTTTGGAACCCTAAAAACTTGAAATCGCCATAATGCTTGAATTTAGGATTTTGGAAAGCTGAAGAGTTGAAATCGGCCAAAACCTTGAATTCGGGATTTTGGAAAGCTAAAATCTTGAAATCGGCCAAAATCTCAAAGTCAGGATTTTCGAAAGCTAAAATCTTGAAATCGGCTAAAATCTTGAATTCAAGATTTTGGAAGGCTAAAATCTTGAAATCGGCAAAAATCTTGAATTCAGGATTTTGGAAAGCTAAAATCTTGAAATCCGCCAAAATCTTTAGTTCAGGCTTTTGCAAGGGTAAAATCTTGAAATCGGCCAAATTCTTGCATTCCGGATTTTGGAAAGCTAAAATCTTGAAATCGGCCAAAATCTTGAATTCAGGATTTTGGAAAGCTAAAATCTTAAAATCGCTCATATTCTTGAATTCAGGATTTTGGAAAGCTAAGATCTTGAAATCGCCCAAAATCTTGAATTTAGGATTTTGGAAAGCTAAAATCTTGAAATCGGCCAAAATCTTGAATTTAGGTTTTTGGCAAGCTAATATCTCAAATTCAGGGTCATGGAAAGCAAAAATCTAGAAAGCTAGCAACATTTGAATTCAGGATTTTTGAAAGCTAAAATCTTGAAATCGGCCATAATCTTGAATTCAGGATTTTGTAAGGCTTAAATCTTGAAATCGGCCAAAATCTTGAATTCAGCATTTTGGAAAGCTAAAATCTTGAAGTCCGCCAAAATCTTGAATTGAGGATTTTGGAAAGCTAAAATCTTGAAGTGAGCCAAAATCTTGAGTTCATGATTTTGGAAAGCTAAGATCTTGAAATTGGCCAAAATCTTAAATTGAGGATTTTGGAAAGGTAAAATCTTGAACTCCGCCAAAATCTTGAATTCAGGATTTTGGAAAGGTAAAATCTTGAAATCGGACAAAATCTTGAGTTCAGGATTTTGCAAAGCTACAATCTTGAAATCGGCCATAATCTTGAAATCAGGATGTTGGAAGGCTTAAATCTTAAAATCGGCCAAAATATTGAATTTAGGATTTTGGAAAGCTGAAATCTTGAACTCCTCCAAAATCGTGATTTCAGGATTTCTGAAAGCTAAAATCTTGGGATCCGCCAAAATCTTGAGTCCAGCATTTCGAAAAGCTAAAATGTTGAAATGGGCCAACATCTTGAATTGTGGATTTTTGAAGGCTAAAATCTTGAAATCCGACAAAATCTTGAATTGAGGACTTTGAAAAGCTAAAATATTGAAATCCGCCAAAATCTTGAATTGGGGATTGTGGAAAGATAAAATGTTGAAATGGGCCAACATCTTGAATTAATGATTTTGGAAAGCTAAAATCTTGAAATCGACCAAAATCTGAATTCAAGATTATGGAAAAGTAAAATCTGAAAAACGGCCAAAATCTTGAATTGAGGGTCCTGTAACACTTAAATCCTAAAATCGGCCAAGAACTTGAATTCAGGATATTGAAAATTTAAAATCTAGAAATCCGCCAAAATCTTGAATTTAGAGTCCTGAAAAGGTAAAATCATGAAATCGGTTAAAATCTTGAATTCAGGATTTTAAAACCTAAAATCTTGAAATTGGTGAAAATCTTCAATTCAGGATTTGAGAAAGCTAAAATCTTGAAATCGAACAAAATCTTGAATTTAGGATTGTGGAAAGCTAAAATCTTGAAATCGGCCAAAAGCTTGAATTCCGAATATTGGAAAGCTAAAATCTTGAAATCGGAAAAAATCTTGAATTCAGGATTTTAAAAAGCTAAAATCTTGAATTGAGGATTTTGGAAACGCAAAATCTTGAAATCGGCCAAAATCTTGAATTCAGGATTTTCGAAAGCTAAAATCTTGAAATCGGCCGAAATCTTGAATTAAAAAATTTTCTAAGCTAAAACCTCGAAGTTGGCCAAAATCTTGAATTCAGGATTTTGGAAAGCTAAAATCTTGAAATCCGCCAAAATCTTGAATTCAGGATTTTGGAAAGCTAAAATCTTCAAATCCGCAAAAATGTTAAAATCAGGATGTTGGAAGGTTTAAATCTTGAAATCCGCTGAAATCCTGATTTGCGCATTTTGGAAAACTAAGATCTTAAAATCGGCAAAAATCTTGAATTCAGGATTTTGGAAAGCTAAAATCTCGAAACCGGCTAAAATCTTCAATTAACGATTTTGGAAAGCTAAAATCTCGAAACCGGCTAAAATCTTCAATTAATGATTTTGGAAAGCTAAAATCTTGAAATTATCCAAAATCTTAAATTTACGATTTTGGCAAGCTAAAATCTTGAAATCCGCCAAAATCTTGTGTTGAGGATTTTAGAAAGCTAAGATCTTAAATTCGGCCAAAATCTAGAATTCAGGATTTTGGAAAGCGAAAATCTTGAAATCGGCCGAAATCTTGAGTTCAGGCTTTTGGAGAGCTAAAACCTTGAAATCGGCCAAATTATTGAATTGAGGATTTTGAAAAGCTAAAATCTTGAAATCGGCAAAAATCTTGATTTCAGAATTTTGGAAAGCTAAGATCTTGAAATCGGCCAAAATCTCTAATTTAGGATTTTGAAAAGCTAAAATCTTGAAATCGGGCAAAATCTTGAATTGAGCATTTTGGAAAGCTAAGATCTTGAAATCGGCCATCATCTTAAATTCAGGATTTTGGAAAGCTAAAATCTTGAAATCGGACAAAATCTTGAATTCAGGATTTTGGAAAGCTGAAATCTTGAAATCAGCCAAAATCTTGAATTCAGGATTTTGGAAAGCTAAAATCTTGAAATCCGCCAAAATCTTGAATTCAGGATTTTCGAAAGCTAAAATCTTGAAATCAGGATGTTGGAAGGTTTAAATCTTGAAATCCGCGAAAATCTTGGATTCAGGATTGTGCAAGGCTAAAATCTTGAAATCGACCAAATTCTTCATTCCCGATTTCGCAAAGCTAAAATCTTGAAGTCGGCCAAAATCTTGAATTCAGGATTTTGGAAAGCTAAAATCTTGAAATCGGTTAAAATCTAAAGTTCAGACTTTTGGAAAGCTAAAATCTTAAAATGGGGATTTTGGAAAGCAGAGATCTTGAAATCAGCCAAAATCTAGAATTTAGGATTTTGGAAAGCGAAAATCTTAAAATCGGCCAAAATCTTGCGTTCAGGCTTTTGGAGAGCTAAAATCTTGAAAACGGCCAAATTATTGAATTCAGGATTTTCAAAAGCTAAAATCTTGAAATCGGCCAAAATCTTGAATTGAGCATTTTGGAAAGCTAAGATCTTCAAATCGGCCAAAATCTTCAATGCAGGATTTTTAAAAGCTAAAACCTTGAAATCTGCAAAAATATTAAATTCCGCCAAAATCATGAATTCAGGATTTTGGAAATCCAAAATCTTGAAATCGGCCAAAATCTTGAATTCAGGATTGTGAAATCTAAGATCTTGAAATCGCCGAAAATCTTTAAATAGGTCAAAATCTCAAATTGAAAATTTTGAAAACCTAAAATCTTGAAATCGGCCAAAATCTTGGATTCAGGCTTTTGCAAAGGTAAAATCTTGAAATCGTCCCAAATCTTTAAGTTAGGATTTTGGAAAAAGAAAAACTTGAAATCGGTCCAAAGTCTTGAATTGAGGATTTTGGAAAGCTAAAATCTTGAAATCGGCCAAAAACTTGAATTCAGGATTTTGGAACCCTAAAATCTTGAAATCGGCCAAAATCTTCAATTCAGGATTTTGGAAAGCTAAGATCTTGAAACCGGCCAAAATCTACAAATTGAGGGTTTAGGATAGCTAAAATCTTGAATTCTCCCAAATTCTTGAGTTCAGGCTTTTGCAAAGCTAAGATCTTGAAGTCGACCAAAATCTACAATTCAGGATTTTGGAAAGCTAAAACCTTGAAATTGTCCAAAATCTTAAATTTAGTATTTTGGCAAAATAAAATCTTGAAATCCGCCAAAATCTTGAGTTCAGGTTTTTAGAAAGCTAAGATCTTGAAATCAGCCAAAATCTAGAATTCAGGATTTTGGAAACCGAAAATCTTGAAATCGGCCAAAATCTTGAGTTCAGGCTTTTGGGGAGCTAAAATCTTAAAAGCGGCCAAATTATTGAATTCAGGATTTTGAAAAGCTAAAATCTTGAAATCGGCAAAAATCTTGATTTCAGGATTTTGGAAAGCTAAGATCTTGAAATCGGTCAAAATCTGTAATTTAGGATTTTGAAAAGCTAAAAACTTGAAATCGGCCAAAATCTTGATTTCAGGATTTTGGAAAGCTAAGATCTTGAATTCGGTCAAAATCTCCAATTTAGGATTTTGGAAAGCTAAAATCTTGAAATCGGCCAAAATCTTGAATGGAGCATTTTGGAAAGCTAAGATCTTTAAATCGGCCAAAATCTTCAATGCAGGATTTTTGAAGGCTAAAACCTTGAAATGTGCCAAAATATTAAATTCCGCCAAAATCATGAAGTCAACATTTTAGAAATCTAAAATCTTGAAATCGGCCAAAGTCTTGAATTCAGGATTTTGGAAAGCTAAAATCTTAAAATCCGCCAAAATCTAGAATTCAGAATTTTGAAATCTAAGATCTTGAAATCAGCCAAAATCTTTAAATAGGTCAAAATCTCGAATTGAGGATTTTGGAAAGCTAAAATCTAGAAATCGGCCTAAATCTTGAATTTAAGATTTTGGAAAGCTAAAGGCTTGAAATCCGCGAAAATCTTGGATTCAGGATTTTGGAAAGCTAAAATCTAGAAATCGGCCAAAATCTTGAATTCATTATTTTGGAAAGGTAGGATCTTGAAGTCGAACAAAATCTACAATTCAGGATTTTGGAAAGCTAAAATCTTAAAATCCGCCAAAATCTTGAATTCAGGATTTTGGAAAGCTAAAATCTTAAAATCCGCCAAAATCTTGAATTCAGGATTTTGAAATCTAAGATCTTGAAAAGGGCCAAAATCTTTAAGTTAGGATTTTGGAAAGCGAAAATCTTGAAATCGGCAAAAATCTTGAATTGAGGATTTTGGAACCCTAAAATCTTGAAATCGGCCAAAATCTTGAATTCAGGATTTTGGAAAGCGAAAATCTTGAAATCGGCAAAAATCTTGAATTGAGGATTTTGGAACCCTAAAATCTTGAACTCGGCCAAAATCTTGAATTCAGGATATTGGAAAGCTAAGATCTTGAAATCGGCCAAAATCTTAAATTCAGGATATTGGAAAGCTAAAATCTTGAGTTCAGGCTTTTGAAAAGCTGAAATCTTGAAATCGCCCAAATTCTTGAATTCAGGTTTTTTATAAAGCTAAAACCTAGAAATCGGGCAAAATCTTCAATTCGGGATTTTGGAAAGCTAAAATCTTAAAATCCGCGAAAATCTTGAATTCAGGATTTTGGAAACCTAAAATCTTGAAATCGGCCAAAAGCTTGAATTTAGGATTTTGGAAACCTAAAATCTTGAAATCGGCCAAAATCTTGAATTGATGATTTTGGAAAGATAAAATCTTCAAATCCGCCAAAATCTTGAATTCACCATTTTAGAAAGTTAAGATCTTGAATTCGGCCAAAAACTTGAATTTAGGATTTTGGAAAGCTAAAATCTTGAATTCGGCCAAAAACTTGAATTTAGGATTTTGGAAAGCTAAAATCTTGAATTCCGCGAAAATCTTAAATTTTAGGATTTTGGAAAGCTAAAATTTTGAGATCAGGCAAAATATTAAATCCCACCAAAATCTTGAATTGAGGATTTTGGAAAGCTAAAATCTTCAAATTAGCCAAAATCTTGAATTCATGATTTTGGAAAGCTGAAATCTTAAATCGGTCAAAATCTTGAAATCACAAAGTTGGAAGGCTTAAATGTAGAAATTCGCCAAAATCTTGAATTCAAAATTTTGGAAAGCTAAGATATTGAAATGGGCAAAATCTTGAAATCGGCTAACATCTTGAATTTTGGATTTTGGAAAGCTAATATCTCAAATTCAGGGTCCTGGAAAGCAAAAACCTTGAAATCGGCCAAAATCTGGAAATCAGGATGTTGGAAGGTTTAAATCTTGAAATCCGCCAAAGTCTTGAATTCAGGATTTTGGAAACCTAAAATCTCGAAATCGGCCAAAATCTTGAATTAACCTTTATGAAAGCTAAAATCTTGAAATCGGCCAAAATCTACAAATTGAGTATTTTGGATAGCTAAAATCTTGAATTGTCCCAAAATCTTGAGTTCAGGCTTTTGGGAAGCTAAAATCTTGAAATTACCAAAAATCGAATTCATTATTTTGGAAAGGTAAGATCTTGAAGTCGAACAAAATCTACAATTCAGGATTTTGGAAAGCTAAAATTTTACAATTAGCCAAAATGTTGAATTCAGGATTTTGGAAAGCTGAAATCTTGAAATCGCCCAAAATCTTGAAATCAGGATGTTGGAAGGCTTAAATCTTGAAATCGGCCAAAATCTTGAATTCAGGATTTTGGAAAGCTAAAATCTTGAAATCGGCCAAAATCTTGAATTCAGGATTTTGGAAAGCTAAAATCTTAAAATCCGCCAAAATCTTGAATTCAGGATTTTGTAATCTAAGATCTTGAAATCCTCGAAAATCGTTAAATAGGTCAAAATCTCGAATTAACGATTTTGGAAAGCTAAAATCTTGAAATTGGCCAAAATCTTGAATTCAAAATTTTGGAAAGCTAAAAGCTTGAGTTCAGGCTTTTGAAAAGCTGAAATCTAGAAATCGCCCAAATTCTTGAATTCAGGTTTTTATAAAGCTAAAACCTTGAAATCGTATAAAATCTTCAATTCAGGATTTTGAAAAGCTAAAATCTTGAGTTCAGGCTTTTGAAAAGCTGAAATCTTGAAATCGCCCAAATTCTTAAATTCAGGTTTATATAAAGCTAAAACATTGAAATCGGCCAAAATCTGCAATTCAGGATTTTGGAAAGCTAAAATCTTGAAATCGGCGAAAATCTTGAATTCAGGATTTTGGAAACCTAAAATCTTGAAATTGGCCAAAAGCTTGAATTTAGGATTTTGGGAACCTAAAATCTTGAAATCGGCCAAAAGCTTGAATTCAGGATTTTGGAAAGCGAAAATCTAGATATCGGCCAAAATCTTGAATTGATGATTTTGGAAAGATAAAATCTTCAAATCCGCCAAAATCTTGAATTCACCATTTTAGAAAGTTAAGATCTTGCAATCGGTCAAAATCTTGGAGTTAGGATTTTGGAAAGCTAAAATCTTGAATTCGGCCAAAAACTTGAATTTAGGATTTTGGAAAGCTAAAATCTTGAATTCCGCAAAAATCTTAAATTCAGGATTTTGGAAAGCTAAAATCTTGAGATCAGCCAAAATATTAAATCCCTCCAAAATCTTGAATTGAGGATTTTGGAAAGCTAAAATCTTCAAATTAGCCAAAATCTTGAATTCATGATTTTGGAAAGCTCAAATCTTAAATCGGTCAGAATCTTGAATTAACAAAGTTGGAAGGCTTAAATCTAGAAATTCGCCAAAGTCTTGAATTTAGGATTTTGGAAAGCTAAAATCTTAAAAGTAGCCAAAATCTTGAATTCATGATTTTGGAAAGCTGAAATCTTAAATCGGTCAAAATCTTGAAATCACAAACTTGGAGGGCTTAAATCTAGAAATTCGCCAAAATCTTGAATTCAGGATTTTGGAAAGCTAAGAACTTATAATCGGCCAAAATCTTGAATTCAGAATTTTGGAAAGCTAAAATCTTCAAATCCGCCTAAATGTTGAATTTAGGATTTTGGAAAGCTAAAATCTTGAAATCGGACAAAATCTTCAATTGAGGATTTGGGTAAGCTAAAGTGTTAAAATCGGCCAAAATCCTGAATTCAGGATTTTAAAAAGCTAAAACCTAGAAATCCGCCAAAATCTAGAATTGGGGATTTTGGAAAGCTAGGATCTAAAAATCGGCCAAAATCTTGAATTCAGGATTTCCGAAACCTAAAATCTTGAAATCCGCCAAAATCTTGACTTCAGGATTTTGGAAAGCAAAAATCTTGAAATCGGCTAGAATCTTGAATTCACGAGTTTGGAAAGCTAAAATCTTGAAATCGGCGAAAATATTAAATTCCACAAAAATCTTGAATTGAGGATTTTAGAAAGCTAAAATCTTGAAATTAGCTAAGATTTTGAATTTAGGATTTTTGAAAGCTAAAATCTTAAACGCTTTCAAAATCTTGAATTCAGGGTTTTGGAAAGGTAAAATCTTGAAATCGGCCAAAATCTTGAATTCAGGGTTTTGGAAAGGTAAAATCTTGAAATCGGCCAAAATCTTGAATTAAGGATTTTGGAAAGCTAAAATCTTGATATCCAAGACAATCTCGAAGTCAGGATTTTGGAAACCTTAAACCTTTTTATCTGCCAAACTCTTGAATTCAGTATTTTCGAAAAGCTAAAATCTTGAATTCAGGATTTTGGAAACCTAAAATCTTCAAATCGGCCAAAAGGATTTTGGAAAGCTAAGATTTTAAAATCGGCCAAAATATTAAATTCCACCAAAATCTTGAATTGACGATTTTGGAAAGCTAAAATCTTGAAATCTGCCAAAATATGAAATTTAGGATTTTGAAACTCTAAAATCTTGAAATCGGCCAAAATCTTGAATTCAGGATTTTGGAAAGCTAAAATGTTGAAATCTGTCAAAATCTTAAATTCAGGTTTTGGAAAGCTAAAATCTTGAAATCGGCCAAAATCTTGAATTCAGGATTTTGCAAGGCTAAAATATTGAAATCGGCCAAAATCTTGAATTCAGGATTTAGGAAAGCTAAAATCTTGAATTCCGCCAAAATTATGAATTGAGGATTTTGGAAAGCTAAGATCTTGAAATCGCTGAAAATCTTATATTCAAGATTTGAAATTGGTTGAAATCTCGGATTCAGGATTTTGAAAAGCTACAATCTTGAAATCGGCCAAGATCTTGAAAGGAGGATTTTGGAAAGCTAAAATCTTGAAATCCTTCAAATTTTTGAATTGAGTATTTGGAAAGCGGAAATCTAGAAATCGGCCAAAAGCTTGAATTGAGGATTCTGGAAAGCTAAAATCTTCAAATCGGCCATAATCTTAAATTCAGGATTTTGGAAAGCTAAAATCTTAAAATCCGCCAAAATCTTGAATAGAGGATTTTGGAAAGCTCAAATCTGGAAATCGGCAAAATATATTAAATTCCACCATTTTCTTGAATTGAGGATTTTGGAAAGCTAAAATCTTGAAATTAGCCAAAATCTTAAATTCATGATTTTCGAAAGCTGAAATCTTAAATCGGCCAAAATCTTGAAATCACGATGTTGGATGGCTTAAATTTAGAAATTCGCCAAAGACTTTAATTCATGATTTTGGAAAGCTAAGATCTTGAAATCGCTGAAAATCTTATATTCAAGATTTTGGAAAGCTAAAATCTTGAAATCCGCCGAAATCTTGAATAGAGGATTTTGGAAAGTGGAAATCTTGAAATCGGCCAAAATCTTTAACTGAGAATTTAGGAAAGCTAAAATCTTGAAATCGGCCAAAATCTTCAATTGAGGATTTTGGAAAGCTAAAATCTTGAAATCTGCCAAAATCTTAAATTCAGATTTTCGAAAGCTAAAATCTTGAAATCGGCCAAAATATTAAATTCCACCAAAATCTTGAATTGAGGATTTTGGAAAGCTAAAATCTTGAAATTAGGCAAAATCTTGAATTCAGGATTTTGGAAAGCTGAAATCTTGAAATCGGCCAAAATCTTGAAATCAGGATATTGGAAGGCTTATATCTTCAAATTCGCCAAAATTTTGAATTGAGGATTTTGGAAAGCTAAGATGTTAAAATCGGCCAAAATCCGGAATTCAGGATTTTGGAAAGCTAAAATCTTGAAAACGCCCAAAACTTGAATTGACGTTTTTGTAACCCTAAAATTTTGAAATCGGCTAAAATCTTGCATTTAGGATTTTTTAAAGCATAAACCTCGTTATCTGCCAAACTCTTGAATTCAGGATTTTCTAAAGCTGAAATCTTAAAATTGGCGAAAATTTTGAATTCAGGATTATGGAAAGATAAAATCTGGAAATCCGCCAGAATCTTAAATTTGGGATTTTGGAAAGCTAGGATCTTAAAATCGGCCAAAATCTTGAATTCAGGGTTTCCGAAACCTTAAATCTTAAAATCGGCCAAAATCTTGAATTCAGGATTTTGGAACGCCAAAATCTTAAAATCCGCCAAAATCTTGAATTCAGGATTTTGGAAAGCTGAAATCTTGAAATCGGCTAGAATGTTGAATTCAGGATTTGGGAAAGATAGCACTGCGTGAAATAAGTAATTTAGTGGAATTTACAGGGCCACGATACTCCCATGGCACTTAGCAAATCGTACACCGACACGCGAGGTGTCATGAAACGCAGCGTTTCAGAGAGTGTCCGTGTCCCCGATACCTCTGTCGTGAAAAATCAGGACAAATTGTGGCCCGGACACGTCTTCTGCGGTGTGTCAAGAAATATACGAGCTCTGATTCTTAACGATATCAGTTAGCCAAAGCTATGTCGACTTTCGACAGTGAGGTAGAATGGCATGAAAACTGAAATTTAGGAAAAATTAAACTTTACCTAATAAAAACACAACTAACTCATTTACGCAAACTTTCCAAGGTACGCCGAGGTTGGTAAAGATTTACGCACTTGGCTTAAAGGTTGAGTGAAGGTAACATAAAGTTGCAACAACTTTACGCTCATTCTCTTACGCGAGATATGAAAGTTGATCATGAGTAACTGTAAGGTTGCCACGTGCACTCTGGTAGCAGGATCTGTTTTCTTTGTTGTTTTTAGCATGACCGAAGTAGTTTTCACGCCGCTAATGATGAGAATCGTTGGCTTGTTGTTTTTGGAGATCGTGTAATTCTGTTCGGGTGACTGGCATGGAAGGCAGTGTTAACTTAACATAAATGGCCTGTCACTTACTCTTGAAAAATAATACAGTGTCTTTGTCACAACCAGTTGAACGAAAACAAATTCAAAACAGAGAGAACATGCGTGATAACTATTTCCTCAGTTACGATGAACGACAGACGGCATTCTCGAAAAACTATGGCTACTTAATTTCAACGGAGTATTGACTAACTTTCTACAAATACTACATTGTTTTTTGAACTGCCTTTATCGCTTCCCGGGTATCGCCTCTG